AAAAATTTTATATAGTTTTATTATTGGGCAATTTTGATTGGCTAACAATTAAGAAACTTGTTTAAAATTTAAAAATACATTTATATTATTCAAACTCAAACTAGTTTGCAAACTTCAAATCAAACTCAAATCAAACTTTGTATAAAATTTAGGTTTGGTTTAAGTTTGATATTTTTTTATTTGAGTTTGGTTTGATTTCAAACTTTTATAAAATTTATATTTTGAGTTTGGTTTGATTTGGGGTTTGATCAAACTCAAATCAAACCCAGATCAAACAACGGAACCCTACCACCAGATCACTTGCTTCTATGCTTTTGGGGTGTTCTTTTAGCCAGTTTTCTTGTTTCTTTGTGCCAGAGATGTTCTATATTTGGTAAGGCCATCTTCTTACCACAGCCCCTTACTATGTTTACTGATTTTCTCACTACTTCTGGAAATACCTCATACAGCCATCCTCCCAATAAAAATCCCAATGCCACTTTAGGGTTGTTGGATTTACCTTGCTAATCGTGAATTTACATGCATAGCCTTCTGCAGTAATATCTTTCATAACTCATGTTATACGCAGTGCCCAGTTTTCTCCATGGCTTGGGGCTCCTTCCAAGAATTCTTTATAGGCCAAATATGTATATCATATGGTCTTACTGCTACAAGGTTCCGTATTCGAAAGCTCTCAAAGGTTATAGAGATAATTAATTAAATTAATTACCACCAGCTGTAATTAAACAGTCAACCTCATCTGTAGATGGTTAGGCACCTAGACCACTAGGCTATAAGACACTAACCTTTAAAAAAAAATTTTAGATATAGGCTCGCTACATTTCTATTAATATAAACTTTACTTATAAAATTTCGCAGAATCTCTCTAGATGACAAAATTAAGCTATAAATAGCTTATATCATAAAAATCTGTAACCCTAAAGCTTTTGCAAAGATTTCTATTAAAAATTTAGAAAGTTTTTGCTCATGAATCTTTTTAGCTTCTTCTACTAACTGTTAAAAGTTTTTTCAAGTTATTCTATAGAGAATATAAGCTATTAGTTTTATTTTCAAGAAGATTAAAAAAACTTCTAGTTAGGTATAACCAGTAAGCCCTGGCAGCAATTCTTCAAATCTCTTTTTCTTTATCATCTGGTATTTTTTTGAGAGCTTATTTTTTATATCTAAACTCCAGATAACTTTCTCTAAATACTTACCCAAGTGATAATAATATTGCAAAAGAGTTATTTGATCACTCTTTTTAGAAAGAATTTGTTTACAAATAAAATTTAATTTTTTAATATAAGTTCTATTAGGAATTAGCTTGGAAAATTGGTAGATCATTTATGTAGAATTTCATAGTTTGAGAAAAAGAGTTAATAGTAATTTAACTGGAGAATGCAAGTTGAGAGAATTCTCTTAAGCATTATGAAAGGATAATTCTGTTACAATTATACAGACTTTGATAATATTAGTGTTATGAATTAATCATATAACTTCATGATTTGGTCTAAAAATTTATAATCTATTTCTAATTGATACATGTTTAAAACTATAGGAATGAAGTTTAGCTTAATTAATATCAATTATCAAGGCTTTTATAAGAAATTAATATTAATAAAGAAGAGATAGAAATATATTTTTTCAACTAGCTTTTATGAATTCACCTTCTTAGAACTCTTTTATTTTTGAAAAGCTTGTTATTTTGAATAGACTTTACTGTTTATAATTTATAAATCTTATTTCCATATACTTTATATATATAATTCAGTTTTGTAAATGCTAGCCTAAACTTGGTGCTATAAGAAATTTTTATGAAGTTTTGTACAGTATGACTTTATTGCTGATATAATAAGTTTCAAGCCAATATTTTTAATTATGCAGAGCCTTCTGATTATTTTGAGCCTTTTTAATATTTTCTTGAACTTGGTTTTAGGCTATTTCTAAATCCTCTGAAATAGCATTAATTCTTTAGAAAAGATAGTTTTGACTTTCTTGTTTTGTAGTAGACTTAGCCAGATAGATGAATATAATTGTCTTTACTAGTAATGTAGCATCCCAACCATATACCAAGAAAAATAGGTTATACTGGACTGTATATAACAAGTAGTCTGATAAATAAATAAGGCAATAGAAATAAATTCTGTTTATTTATTATCATATTGTATAACATATTTAGCTAATATTTTATATAGAGTTCTATTGAATTTTTTTATCAATCTATTAGTCTAAGGATAGTAAACAGTAAATATATATTAGCAAATATTTATTTTCTTATACAAGGCATTTACTGAATTATTATAGAAGTATTCTGGTTGAAAGTAACTTATAAGGACTTTTATAGCAATATATAAAATTGTCAAAATGTAATGCAGTACAAATTTAGCATTAACACTTTCAAGTGTCTGAGCCTCTAGCCACTTAATGTGATAATTAGTAGCTACACTATATAATGGTATATATCTTGGGTTACAGGAAGTGGTTCTATAATATCAATACCAACTTGATCAAAGAATTAACTGACTTTAATAAAATAAAGAGGTTTTCTAGTTCCAGATCTATCTCTTCTTTGACAAGTATTACACACTTCTATAAATCACTTCATATTATTCTCTATTTGCAGCCAATAGCATTTTATTATGATTTATTGGTAAGTTTTTTCCTTCTGAAATATTCTACTAATAGGTTAGCATGCATAGCATATAAAATTGATTCTACTTCATGAGACTTTAAAATACAAAAACTCTACTGAGGTTATGTGAAACATTCTTAAACAATAATTAGTTATAGACAAGAAAATATTTTGTCTAATATTTTAAAATACTCTTACTATAGTCTAAAGGTATCTTAGACCAGCTAAGATATTTTATATAAATATTATAGATATTTATATTCATAATGTCTATCAAGTCAATTAGAGATTATTTAATAGTGGCATCAATTTGTCAAGAAGAAAGAGAAAAATTAAGCTTTAATAATAGGCTTTTAACTATTTACTCTAAATTTGAAATAAACTATCAGTATTAAGATATTATTTTTGAACTTATAGATAGTAGTAAACAAGTATTTCTGCAAGGTCAGAATCTACCTGGCCAGTAAGCTTTGGGATAATCAATAAGAGAATAAAGATTTCAATATTGAGTGTTTAGTATAAAGAGTAAAATGTAAGCTATAAAGATTGAGCCTAAAGTATAAGATAGCCCAAACTATTACAAGGTACTCTTTTTTGATACAGTATAGTTCTTTTTAGCTAAAATTAAGAAGTGACTTGCATATGCTACTACCTTTTCTTTATTCTCTATATCAAATTGAGAAAGAATAGATTCTAAAGCTATGTCAGATATATCTTTAAAGAGAATAAAGAGTTTTGTAAAGTCTAAATAGGCTAAGATAGAAGCAACTATTAATTTATTCTTAAGCTCTTTGAAGGCTTTTTGTTGTATAAACATCCAATGATAGTTTATAAATTTTTTTAATAAAATATACAAGTGCTTTGCTATATTAGCAAACTTAGAAATAAATTAACAATCATAAGTTACTAAACCCAAAAAGCTATGCAATTGCTATAAGTTTCTTGGGGCTAGGAATTCTTGAACAGCTACAAGAACAAGAAAAGTGAAATAAACCTAAATTTACCTTACAAGGAAATCAACCAGAAAAAGTGAAATGAACTCCAGTGGTAAGATGAAAGGTTGTGGAAGAAGAATTGCTACAAATTTTTTCATTAGTTTCTCCCTACTCTATAGTAGCGAATATAAGTGACAAACCGGCAAATATTACTTATAGACAATTGCTAAGGGCCTCACCAAATATGAGGCAAGAATTAACTCGCTCTTTGCAAAAGAAAAGAGCAATAGTTCGAAAAAAAGCTCAAGGAAATATCAATATTCAGCCTATGTCCAAGTCTATGGCCTTATATTGTGACACTACAGTTTTGGGGAAGAAAATAGTGAATAGTGGGTTTTAAAAAGTGTTGCTATGTCAACTCTTTTACATCAGTTAGAAATTAAAGTCGAAAGACCATCAGTAGTAAGTATGGTTAATATACATGGAGAAAGCAAAAGAGCTATAGGAGAGATATCGGATTTCCCAATTTGTGTTAGAGGAGTTGAAATTCCCATAGACATTATCATGACTGACACAACAGCATATAGTGCTATTATCAGAAATGATTGGCTTGCAAAGGCCAATGTTACCATTGATTGGAATAAGTCTGAAATGACTATATTATGGAATGACAAGAAAATAATAATCCCAGTTGAATTTAGAAAAATGTTAAGGATGCCAATCGAAGAAGAACAATTTGTAGTAGTTAAAGAAATAGAAAGTATAGAGGATGAAGAAGAGGATTCTGATGAATATGAGGAAGAAGATCTTGAAGAAAGAATTTTTGTTTATTGGAAAATTGAATCAGGGAAAATAATTAAAAATGAATTATATCAAGAAAAAGAAAAAGAGGTATGTGAATAGAAAGGCTATAAAAATAGCAGATTGCTATGAACTATTGAAGGGGAAAGTATAATAATAGAGAACAAGAATAACAAGGAGAAAAAGGAATTCTTGGGTTTATGGCTGGTAACTTTATGCCATCATTGCAAAGAAATTTTACCAATATTTGACCTTTTTGATTATTACTATGAGAATGAGGTTCAGATAGGTATTGGGTATAATATTAGCGACCTGGAACCAACTCAGCAAGATCAGTTTCATCTATTATTGGACAAATACGAAGATCTAGGTGCTCAAAGTCTTAATAAATTAGGAAGAAGTGGTGCTATCCAACATAAAATCCATATTCAAGATGGATGGCCTATTAAACAGCATCTATATCATTATTCACTAGCTAAAAAAGAATTCTTAAGAGAGAAAATAAAAGCCATGTTAGCCGAGACATTATTAGGCCTTCTAGTAGTCTCTGAGTTCTCCAGTAGTGTTGGTGAAGCAAAAAGCTCAAAAAATACGCCTTTGTATAGACTACAGGAAGCTAAATACTGTTACCATTAAAAATAACTACCCTTTGCCAAAGGTAGACAACCTATTGGACTCACTAAATAGAGTGTTGTGGTTTACCACTTTAGACCTTGCCAGTGGGTACTGGCAGGTCGAAATGATGAAAGAGGACAAGCCAAAGACCACCTTTATATCCTCTGAGAGCATTTTTGAATTTAACGTTATGCTCTTTGGCCTTACAAACACTCCGGCTACGTTCTAACAGTTGATGGACCAAATCTTTAGGGACATCATAGGGAAATACGTTGTTGTCTATTTAGACAACTTAAATATTTATTCCAAATATTTGATGAACACCTGGAACATCTGCAGGAAGTCTTTGAAAGGTTGCAGAAAGCTAACTTAAAAATTAAGCTGCCAAAGTGTTTCTTTTCAAAAGGAAACTTAAATTCCTGGGCTATATAGTAGAAATACAAGAAATTTCTACCAACCCCGAGAAAGTCTAGGCAGTTCAAAAATTTCCAATCCCCAAAAATTTAAGGCAGTTAAGAGGATTTCTTGAATTGGTCTCTTATTATTAGCAGTTTATACCTAGATTTACTGACATAGTGGGACCTCTAAACACATTATTAAAAAAGAATACAAGCTACCAGTGGACCTCCCAACAGCAAGAAGCATTTGAGGAACTTAAAAATAGCTCATAACCACTTCTATTTTGGCCTATCTGAATTTTGCAAAACTCTTTATCCTTTTCACGGATGTCTCCGATATAGCCTTAGGAGCTATTCTTTCTCAGATAGATACGGAGAATAAAGAAAGAGTAGTGGCATATGCAAGTTGCTCTCTAATCCCACTAAAAAGAACTATGCAGTTACTGAAAAGGAGTGTCTTGCAGTAGTATGGGCTGTCTCGTACATTAGGCCTTATCTCTATAGGTCTTATTTTATCCTCTATACTGACCACTCCACCTTGAAATCGTTATTTTCTCATCAGTTACCCCAAAATTAACTAGCCAGGTGGATTCTGATCTTGCAGGAATATACCTTTACTACCATCCACAAATTTGAAAAACTACACCTTAATACCAATAGTTTATCCTGAATTTAAAAAACAACTCATCAAAAAGTTCTATATTTTAATTCTTATTGCCTATACTGACGCCAATTATGGAAACCTCATTCTTGATTTTAATGGACATTGATGGATTTAGAAACATATAAAATTTTTATAAAATACCTTAGCAGGTCTAAGGTACTCCCTAATTATAGTAACTATGAATTAAAACATAAGACCCAGAATTACTTCATAAGGAGTAAACTATTATATAAAACCAACTCTAGAAATCCTGAAAGACCCCTAAGAGTTTTGAGGCTTTTTGAAATTAAGCCTATTTTACATACTATATATTCAGACTAGTGATCCGAATCGACTAAAATTTTTTAGTTAACTAGTCAGTTGATTAATTTTATGATTAGTCGACTAGTTGTATATTATATAAAGTAAATACTACAAATTACAATTTATTAGTCAACCAATCAAAAATGATAGTTAACTATTAGTCTATATTAGTGTTGAGTTTTTTCAAATTTCATGTGAATGGAATTTTGGCCTAAATTATGAATTTTCAGCCAGTATCATAGCAGCTTACTGCTAATGCGAACCAGAATTATGTTCTAAAATATTTCAAGTACATATACAACACTACGTAGTCTATATATTTATTATCTTTATTTTAGTTGATTTTTAGTCGACTAATAAATTTTAGTCGACTTAGTTGACTAAAAATTAGTCGTTTCCTATCACTAATGCAGACCCGTTAGCAGAACATTTTGGAAAAGAAAGGACCTATCAACGAATTATAGTCAAATACTACTGATCTCAAATAGAAAATGATATAAAGCAATATATTGCAGCTTGCGACATGTGCCAAAGGCGAGGAAAGCCTAGGACTTGAGAACCTCTACACCCAATTAATGTGGGTCAACCTTTTGACTGGATTGGTATCAATATAGTAGGACCACTTCCGGTAATGCAGGAAGGGTATTGATATATAGTAGTAGCAACCAATTATCTTACTAAATAGCTAGAAGCCCGAGCATTTAGTATACTAATGCTGAATCGGTGGCATTCTTCCTTTTAATAACATCATATATTAGCATAGAAGTCCCTGTAAGCTACTCTCTGACCAAGATACTCACTTCTGCAACAAATTAGTGGATGCTATTTGTAAGAAAATAAAAGTTCACCGTCGCATATCTATCACTTACTATCCTCAAACAAATGGATTGGTAAAAAGGTTTAATAGAACCTTATATAAAGTAATGGCTAAAAGTTTAGAGCAGTATACTGGAGAATAGCTGAATTTATTTCAACCGCCTTGTTTGCCTATTAGACTACTCGGCACTATACCACTTGATATGAGCCCTTTTTCTTAATATATGGCCATGATACATTATTACCCATAGAAACAGTTATCTCTTCATATCTTGTAGAACCAACTACTAAAGTGGAATTACAAGATTGTCTTTCCTGGAGAATTGATTCTATATTAGGGAACCTTGAAATTGCCTGAACCCAAGCTTAAGAAATATTGAAAAGGCACAAAACAAACAAAAGGCTTATTATGATCAAAAATACTGGATGAAACTTATGAGATTGGTGATAAGGTGATGTTGTATAAATCTTCACGCGATATATCTTATAGTGCCAAACTCGAACCTGCTTTTACAGGACTATACTATATTCACAAAGTTTGTGGCAATAGCTCTTACAAGTTATGAACAATGAAGACCTTTCTAAATAATAAGCCCCTCAAAAGTAAAAGAGTTTTGAAGAAGCGAATTCATAGAAACTGGTTAAAGAAATATATCTCTGTCTCTTCTTCCTCGAGTTGAGATTTCTTATAAAAAGCCTTAACAATTGACTTTAGTTCGGAAAAATTTTATTTCAGTAAATCATGCATCAATTGGAAATAAAGCGTAAATTATTGGGTCAAGTCATGAAGCTACGACGATTAATCCAAGACACCAATGTCATCAAAGTTTATATAACTGCCACGAACTTAACTTTTCTTGACACTCAAGGAAACTCTGCTCAACTTATATTCTCTAGTAAAATTACTACTAACCCCTTTTCGCGGGCTATAGAATCTTATATTGATAATTTATAACAATCACCATTTCCACCTAATTCCCTAAACCAATTTCTACTAGAACCCGGAATGAAAAACTTGGTTTTATTTGTGAACAAATTCTCTCTGGAAAGAGTGATCAAATAACTCTTTTACAATATTATTATTATTTAGATGAGTATTTAGAAAAAGCTGCCTGTAGTTCAGAAGTAAAGAATGAACTTTTGGAGAAAATTCAAGATTATAAAGGGAAAAAGGTTTGGAGAATTGCTGCTCGGGCTTATCAGTTATATCAAACTAGAAGATTTTTTAATCCCCTTGAGAATAAGACAATCATGGCACATGCTTTCTATAGAATGATTCAAGAAG